ATTTCTCATGCCTATATTTTCACTTCAGGCAGTGGTTTTAGATTATTGCCAGAGAGATAAAAATGAAACCAAGAAGGAAAGATAGCAATCTCTCTAATCTCCTAGTTGATTCTTATTTCATACCATAGCCCTCCTGTCCCTGTCATCACCCATCATTGATCACCTACACTTCAGAACGTGTGCACAGCGGTGTACAATGTTCCCTGTTTCCCTTTACACCTGGTTTGCCCACTGGTGTTTTGTCTCTTAGAGTTAGTTCTAGGAACTCTGAAATAGGATTAATCTATACCAGTAAGCACTAAGCAGTGACTCCCCCTCCTCATATGCCTGTAAAAAGTTTCAGATTCTAAAAGATTAGAACATTAATGTGAAAATTGGTGTCTTGTGAAAGGGGAGGATGTTTTCCAGAGATCACAACAAAGGTGACTGTCACTATCTATCTGCCAATTCACATCATCAAATAACTGCCAAACGATGTCATTCCATTATGACCAAATTACATCATGTCAGCACTGGCCAGCTACTGAGAATCATGACAGATAACTGTCCTCATCACAGCCAGCATGAGTTTCCCCTTATAGTTTTCATTCCTGAAAAATAAATAAGCAATATTATTTATTTATTTAAACATCTACATGTTTACTATTGTCCTAAGTATAAAATATCCCAAAGAATGAGGTTCCAAGAAGAACATAATTTTAAAATAATTTATTTCCCTAGGATAGTAATAATAAATCATAGCAACTCATATATCTCACAATAGAACAATAGCTCTGCTTAAATAAAATAGGATTTCAGATTAAGTCCTCAGCTGCTAACTGGGAGATTGGCAGATGAAATTCATTTAAAGGAGCTGCAGAAGAAACACCTGGCAACCAATTACCCCTGGAAACTCTGTGGGGTACACTTCCCCAAGTACTCTGGCACACATATGGTTTCCCTGACTTGCAGTTGATGCAATGGCACCCCTTTTTTTTTAACTAGGTGGGTTCAAGGCAAACTTTCCTATTGAGATCAAGTGAAGGGCCCATTCTACCCCAACTGGAGGGTTGTTTATGTTCATATGCACTGAGCCTTGGCTTAAAAGGTTAGATTCTCTGTTCCTTTGCATCCACGGAGGCACTGCATTGCCCATGCTGGCGGCTGGAGAGGAGATGCCTTTCAGCAGGGTGAAAAAGATGAGTGTCGGACTAAAGGCCACTCATGCCTTAAATTTTAGATAATTGAAACGGGGGTAATTTTTCTGCTTGGATAATATGAGCCGGATTAGGTAAAATTGTAAGCCTGAAGCCCCAAAACCACTTGGCCTAAATTATCTCAATAATTGAAGTCAGGGCAATTGTAAGGCTTGAATTCTATGACTCATTGTTTCATTTTCAACTTCACCATGTTTTTGAAAACCCCTTCCTAAATCATTCCGACAATGAAGAACTACTAGGAACCCTGCCTTTAAATTGGATTTTTTTTTTTCAGGGAACAAGTCAAAATACTGTGAAATAACATGCACATTTACTAAAGGAAATAGAGCATGTTAAATAGTTTAAAGTTCAGAATAAGATCTGGGGTAAAGATGACCTTCCCAATCACATAAAGAAAAACACAGTGGGACCTCCTAGTAGAAGTTTAACCTGGACTTCTTAGTTAAGGTAATAAGCATTGTAAGGTTTATCGTCATCATATCCCCCAAATTGACTTCTACTTCAGTAACCCTCACTGACCATGTCAGGTCATTTACACCCTGGTACTTCTTTGTGAGGTATTTGTTATACAATGCCAGTGCTGGCCTTTCTCAGATTTTGTGCCCTAGAACGGTCACTCTAGGGTCAGACAGAGGGTCACGGTGAGCTGGAATCAGCCCCCTGGCGGTGAGTTGGAGAAAGACAATGGGGGTAGGAGGATGACTGAGAGAACTCCAGCCAGAAGAAAAGAGATGTGGGGCAGGTAGTGCTTGTTCCAGGAACCAGCCTGAGCCTGGAAAAAGAAAAAGAAAGTAAGTTTTAATAAAAAACAAAAGTGAATTTCAATATGTACTTTCTCAGGCACCTCTGGACTAGGAGATGACATAACATTAGTGAGATTCTTATACAGATCATGGATCCGATTGGATAAGGTGATAAGAAATTATGCCGTACAAGAAGTCTAGTGGGGGGAGTGAGAGGGAAAAAGTGCAAGTGGACAATGGCACACAAATGAATATTTTCCGTTTACATTAAAGTCACGCCCATGATGGATCTTGTTTATAGGTACAACGGTAATTATTACCTAGGTTTGGAAAACAATAAACAGTGGTTTGGATTGTGTTTTCCTACATAAATGTCCAGCAGACATTCCACCTTCTAGCCCTTACCCACTAAATGCCAGTTGGACCCCCAAATATTACAACCCGAACTACCAAACTCACTGCCATCAAGTCAATTATTACTCGACACTGCAGGACAAAGGAGAACTGCCCTTCCGGTTTCTGAGACTGTCAATCTTTCCAGGAGCAGACAGCCTCATCTTTCTCCCTCAGGGCAGCCGATGGTTGGAACCCCTGACCTGTGGTTAGCAGTTCAATGTGTAGCCCAGTAAGCTACCAGGGATTGACAAACCCTGTGATTTCACAGCCTGTCCCTCCCTGAAAACACTGATCTAAAACAAAGTTGCAGGGTCGACAGACTGTTGCCTTCACCCGTCTTTACCGCCAACGTCTTACAGGTAGGAAAACAAAGACAAGACTAGGAGGTGCCCCTCCACGATGTCCGGTCAGTTGTATTTAGATAACGGTACTCTTGGAACTGAGGGCGAAATATTGAGTTCAATGTCACCGTCCTAAGTTCATTATCTATCCTAAGAACAGTGGGGGATCCGCGCTGGTGCAAACATCCAGGTGCTCAACTGCTCAGGGAAAGAAAAGGTACAGGCTCCCATTCACCCAGAGCCACTCCAGTGGCCCCCTTCCGAAAAGCCACACACCGGAAGTCATCCACTGACATGCAGGGAGCTGCTATGAGTCAGGACCCACTCCGTGGCAAGTGGTTTGAGGGCCGTGGTTTGAGATCACAAGAGTCAACTTTGCTGCCCCGCCTCCTTGCTCTTTAACCTTCTGAGGAACTTTTCATGTTGCCCCTCCCTCAATTCCAGCCCAAATGAAGATCGCTTGCGACAACACTGTGGTGCGCATGGTCTCCAGCGGGCAGCACATCAATCGCGTGACTTTTGAATATCGTCAGCTGGAGCCATATGAACTGGAAAGCCCCGACGGGAACAGCATCAGGGAATTCTGTTTGTCTCCTCTCTAAAGAGTCAACCTGGTGATCTCCATGCTGCTAGCGAAGGGGTTTTAAATGGCGATGACGTAGGATTTTGATGATCACTCGATGACAAGCTCACACCAATCCGTATTCCCAGCCTAGAGCACCTACCGTGCACACATGACCGCGTTCCTTTTTGTACCCCGCTGCTCCTTCGTCTGTGATATGTAAGTGGTTCCGGGACAGAAAGGACGCCCCCTTTGGTAGAAAACAGGATTGAATGGCAGTGCCGGCAATTTCTAGGTGTGCCACAAGCCTGAAGCAGTAGGCCAAGCAGGGCCCAGTGTAAAGATTGTATCTCAAGGGGAAATCCGATAGAGAAACTAGACCGGTGATGTCCAGACAAATTTCCTAAGAGGAAAAATCCCATGTCTTGTGTATGCTGACATAGTGGCACCTGTTGGTTTTCTATTTATGTTCTAGATCGGAGTTGTGTCTACTATTATTTATTGATTTGTAACCACTTGTTTTTAACAAAACTTTGTAGCATGGAAATGAATTTCCATTCAATAGGAACATAAATAAATATACTCAGAATATTGACTCCTTGGCACTGTACTTTATTTCCTTCCCCGAGTTCTCCCCACCCATGTTACTGTCCGGCAATAATGTTGTCATGCGGTGTTAGCACGACAGGCTGCACTAAACCAGCTGGGACAACTTGGAGCTAGTAGAACTCTCAACAATTTTACCATGACTCAGAACAGACAGTCGCGTTGCACTGTTTACCCAAGCCACACTGACTGATTGTTCCTGGCAGAGAAACAGGGTACATAGATGGGTTTTCTACTACCTTCTGATAAAACCTAACATGCCTATCCTGGGCGCATTCTCTGTGTGTTTCAACAAGAACAGACCTCACAATGCTCACAGACACAGTTTGCAGACATTTGGGTACCGCTTTGCTATTGGAAGCAGTTTGTTGTTGACTAGTGTCAAATCTTAAGTGAGTGGATGCCATCTCGGTGGTTATGCGTTGGACGGTGGTCCACAAGGTCAGCCGTTTGAAACCGCCAGCTGCTCCACAGGTGAAAGATGGGCTTTCTACTCCCTGAACAGTGACAGCCTTAGAAATTCACCAGGGCAGTTCTACCCTGTCCTACATGGTCGCTATGCGTTGGCATCCACTCAGTGGCAGTTAGTGAGAAGGAAGCTCCAGCAAATTCCGCCACACTTGTTGACTTCATCTGGGTTCCCCAAACGTATTTCATGTCAAGCCATGTTACAATGAAATATGCCGGCATGCCAGGCACTTCATATGTAATCCAAACCTGGGCACAAAGAAGCATACGGGGTTTCAGACACGGCTGAGTGGGTAGCTGGGCAAAGTGTGATCATGCGTTCCAGGATGCTCTTCACAAGGAGCAGA